GCCCCTGGTCGGATCCTTCAGCACTTGTACCAAGAAGTTATCGCCAACATTCTCCAAAAACTTCCTGGATTGCCTGTGTACTGCCGTATAGGTTTCCCAGCAGATGTCAGGGTGATTAAAGTCGCCCACGAGAACCAGGGCCTGCGATCTGGAAGCTTCGCTCAGTTGTCCAAAGAAGGCCTCATCTACCTGATTCGGTTGCCTGAAGCAAACACCAACCACAACATCACTGCTGTTGTTTGCTCCTTTAAACTTAACCCATAGACTCTCAACAGGTTTTTCTCCCTCTTTATACTGGAGTTCAGAGCAATCGTAGTGCTCTCTTACATATAGCGCAACTCCTCCTCCTTTTCTCCCCTGCCTGTTCTTCCTGAACAGTCTGTACCCTTCCATGACAGCGCTCCAGTCATGCGAGTCATCCCACCAAGTCTCTGTTATCCCAATTAAATCATATTTCTTGGACTGGGCCAGGGCCTCCAGTTCTTCCTGTTTGTTGCCCAGGCTTCTCGCATTAGTGTACAAACACTTCAGGTAACCAGTTGATCATCCTATCTTCTCCATTCGAATCAGGGGTTCTCCTTTCTTGCCCCTTCCTCTTTGCATTTCTTCCCGGTATCCGACTTTCCCACTCCCCTCAGGGTTTTGGTCACCGTCCCCCAACGAACCTAGTTTAAAGCCCTCCTCACTAGGTTTGCAAGCCTGCCCGTGAAGATGCTCCTTCCTCTCTTCGTTAGGTGGATCCCATCTCTTCCTAACAATCCTTGCGCCCGGAACAAAGTCCCATGGTGGAAGAAACCAAAGCCCTCTCTGCAACACCACCTGCGCAACCACGCATTTACGTCCTCAATTCGACGATCCCTGCCCAGTCCTTTCCCTTCAACAGGGAGGATGGACGAGAATACCACTTGCGCTCCGAATTCTTGGATCCTTCTTCCTTCCCTTCTGCGGTTGGTCCTAGGCTCGTCTTTTCCCTGGTGGCAGCCTCCTGGGCATGTGGGGGGTTGGGGAGAACCTGGTCCTGCCCACTTACACTGGGTTCTGCGCAGGGCCCCAGGTAATGGTCACTAGCGGGGCTCCTGCCCTTGTCTCCATAGAATAGCAGCCCTTCCCTGCGCCACTTCCCCAACCAGTCCCACAGCACCATCTCCTGACCCACAAGATGAGAACTTCTCCCGGTTGTAGCCTTCAGTTCCCTTCCACTCTGCACTTGCCTCCTCTCCAGCCCATCCCTCCTCTCCTTCCCCTTCTTGACCTATGAGAAATCTTTATAGTGAGCCAACAGGCCCAGGTGTCCCATTAGCCTGCTGCTGCCGCAGGGCTCTGAATAAGTCCTTGGTGCCTAGTGGCTGGGCAGCAGTCTCTGGCAGCCTATGGAGGGAACCTGCTCAGGGTGCAAGTATGGCTTGGTCCGGCACTGACTGTATCAGAAGACTTATTAGCAAAGTAAATAATACATTTACTTGTAAACCCTCTTCAGACCCAGACTAGACAATATGCTAACCCTAATTGTAGCTAGGTACACTTTTATCCTTCATTTTTTAAAAGTTAGGTTTAATTTCTTCTTTCAGTGCAAATTCCAGCACAGTCTTAACTGAGGAGCTACTGTGTTACCTCTGAAACCTCATATACTGTGAAAAATTCAGGTTTTGTTAGCTAGTTCAATACATTAGTATCAACTGTAATTATGAGAACTGTATGCTCCCCTTTTGCAGGTCAAATCAAAGAACCAAATATCAGAAAGAAAAAAACCTACCATGGAGGGAGACCAGAAGGGAATTGGAGATGGTGACAGTGAAAAGATAAGAAGTTGAACCCAATACACTATTCCAGGGCTACTCAACTTTGGAAGTTCCAGGGGCCACAGTGATACTCAGACAACATACCAAGGGCTGCATCTTAATCGTGGTTGCACATACATGCAAATATATATGCAAATATATGCAAATAGTTTCTTTAACAAAGACAGGCATGAATACAAAGATTAAGGCAAGACTATACACACACAGGCCCCATTTAAGTCAATTCTGCCGATATTAATAAAATGCAATATTTACCTGATTTCCACCCATATGACAGCACTTGTAATGAACAATGGCAGTTCAGGAATTTAACTACGAAAATGCATATCAACAGAAGACCATTATAGTGATGACTTTTTTGTTTTGGCTCCTGCAAACAAATGGGCCACGGCCCGTGGGCCATGTGTTGAATAGCCCTGCACTATATGATAAACAGCAGAAGTCTACATATGGGATGTGTGAGCTGAACCTATGAAAAGCATTCATGACTCTTACAGGCTTCAATATGTGTGTGTACGATAGCGGGAGATGTTCAAAATATGCATAAGTGCCTGGAAACCATTTAAGAGTTTTGCTGAGATGAAGTGCACACATCTACACTACTCTCCTCTCTCCCCCCCCCCCCACAACAA